CAAACCTTAAACCCGAAGAGCTGCATAGTCTCAACGAATGGACCCTCAACCTTGATATTCAAACCATGAACACATCCGGAGCTTCCGTTCCAAGAACAAAGAACGTCCAGACCCCAAAACTGCATCGTTAAACCGCAAAGCCGTAAACTTCAACCCCAAACCTCCCAAGCTCTAAAACCTAAAACCCTGAACCCAAAACCCGAAACCCTAAACAGGCCTCAAAACCCCCGAAACCCTAAACCCTGAGTTTTTAACCCCGACCGTGCGTCCCGCGTCAGGTCAGCTTTGCAGGATCCGCGCAGGCCATGCTGTCAAGATTGAGTCTTTTGGTCTGATAAGGCAGGAACCATTATTTTCGAACAGTATAATCTCCTAGTTTAGAAACCGTTCAACGAACTACAATATGCGATTATAAGAGCTTTAAAACACACTATAAGATACGAATATAGGAACCTGATCAATAAGCCTGGGTTCTGTTATGACTTATTGGGGTTCTTTATTCAGATCCTTGTATATTTTGGGGTTATAGGACCCGGGTTTCTCAACTTTTATGCACCGTCATGAGCCAGATGCCGCAAAATCCCAAAGCCAAAGAGCAAACCCTAAAGCTCGACAGCCTCCAAACTTAACACACTACATATGTTTTCTTTTGGGAGGATCTTTTTTGTTTCTTTTTGGACGGGGAGGGGGGGTGCTGGGAATGCAGGTTCCACATGCCCTCGCTGCCAAGAACGGATCGGTTCCGGTGGAGATGCAGAAGCTGCAGGTGCCACCGGTTACGGTTAAGCCCAAACCCCAGAGCACGTCACGTGTACTTAGGGGGTTTAGGGTTTCGGGCTTAGGGTTTAAGGTTTATGGTTTACGTTCCATAGTACCTTTGCAACGGGAAGCTTCTCGCAACCAGGGGCTGTGGCAGACCCAGCACGACAGGCAGCTGATGGGCAGCGACCTTAGCTCAGACCACCAAGCCTCTTTGCATTCAGCTCTATGCACTGTTGTATTCTGCCGTATGCTGGACTACAGCAAATCTTACATATGTTGTAGTGATCGTTTCTGGGCATCGCAACCACAGCTGTGAGGTGAGATCATCGGCGCAAGTATGATCTGGGACCAGGAGTTCAACCATGACAAGTCGGTTTTTAAGGCCTGTGACAGCCGGGTGTGGGAAGGAGTGCCCCAAGCTTCAACCCTGAAACCCTTCATCGAACCATAAACACTATACCGGCTATACCCTGAATCCTAAATCCGAAACCCTACACCCTAAGAGTTAGGATTTAGGATAAAGGTATGCGATGTTCTATGTCAGCAGCAGGTCTTACTTTCGGGGCTCTGAACCATGGAGGTTGCTGCAACCTGGGCCAGAAACCCCGAGAGTCCAATATCCCTTAATTAAGGAATATTCCTTAAATCATTAGGGATCTTATTACAATTTAAGGAGTATTCCTTAATTAAGGGATATTGGAGTCTCTGGGAACCCTTCAAGTCAGCACAACGCCGAAAAAGCTAAGCTTTAGGGCAACTTTAGGGCTTGGGACTACTGCCAGGTCCAGGGTTTTGGGGATTAGGGTTCCGAGTTGTTACACAGGCCGTAAACCCTAAACCCTGAACCCTAGATTGTCACGGGAGATGGATTGCGAAGCAGGGCCGTACGCTTCACAGCAACTCCCGAGCTTTCCACCGCGATGTTCTGTGGCAGGTTAAGCGGCGAACGCAGCCTACGACCCTAAGCCCCTGATTCCCTTAACACTGAACCTTATAAGCGTTGATTCCCTCAGCCTACAAAATCATTCAAAACGCGCCGCTACCTCTGGACCCTTACTGGACCTTACATGAGCTGTCCTGACCTCGGAAACCTACAGCCCCAATGCCCCTAGAGTGAGCGTCCCTGAACCCCACACCCCCAAAATCCTGCAGAAGTTGGGGCTTTGGGTTGTGACGGAGCTGGGTTTGGAGTTTGCCTGGGGCCTAGGGTTTAAAGTTTACAGTTTAGGTTTCGGAATCTTCTAAAGAAGGGTCTTGGATATAAGGTCATTGCCACGAGCTTGCGTAGGCCTCGAACTCTTATGGAGCCCTCCAGCTCCTTTGCAGAACCTCACAAAGCCTCTGCAGATCCGAAAAGCCTTCAAGCCCCAAGCCCAAAACCTCGAAGCCCTACACCCTAAACCCCAAACCCCCCAATCTGGGTTGGGAGAGTGCATCGCGCGGACCCCAAAAAGGCACTAAAAAACAAAAACGAACCCCGAAATCCTTAAGCCGAAGCCCCCCGCTTCCTTAAAGATCCCGAATGCGCAGGTTGTCTCGAAGGGGACCTACCAGATGGAGCTGATGGGCTCGCTGCATAAGGCAACCTACGAGGCCCGTTGTGGGCTTAGGCTTTGGGGTTTAGCGTTTGGGGCTTAGGCTTTGGGGGTTTAATTGGGGGTTTTGGCTTTAGGGGTTTGGGGTGCCTCAGACGCAGCCTAGCCCCGCATCCCTAAATATCCTACAAGCCCTCTGGTGTCGGCTTGGCTGCAGGAGCCTGGATGCTTGAGATGGAGCGATGGAGAGGTGTGGATCAAAGTTAAGTGATTCGCAGAATGTAGGAACCTGATTAAGAAACCCTGGGCCTATAACCCTAAAGTAAGAGGATTCATATAGGGACCTTACATGACCTTACTAAAGGCCCAAGGTCTCTTAATCAGGTTCCGACATTACCCGTTTGAGGTCTGCAGCGGAGCTTACGTGTCACCAGTTGGCCGCAGTGTCCTGAAGCCGCCGCAAACGCGGGGGGCCTATACACTTGCCAGACGCAACCGACCCAGAGACTCCAAAATCCCTCAGCGTACGAAGATACCCTCGAAGTATAGGGGTTCTTTTACCGCCTTTTTGTTCGTTAATGAACCCTAAACCCTAAACCCTAAAGGCATGTTCCTTAAGGCAGGGAGCCTCTGGGGACCACGATAGCTACAGACTGGCCGAAAACGACTGCGAGCACAACACGTCGTGACAGTGATAGTGATAATGCAGACTAGGCCTTCTTCCACGTAAGAACCTGTCTGACAGGGATCCGAGTAGTAAGGCCATCAAACCAGGGAGTTTACAAGTCGGAGATTTTATGATGCTCTAGTCCCTAAGCTCTAACAACCCTTATACTTATCTCCCTCTTATGACACTTGCAAGAGCCTGTGCCGTGCAACATACTTCTTCGACGACCTTGTGGATGGCCTTTTCCCCCAAAAGGCGCTGGCGACAAACATAAAGAGGTTGTGTCACAGTCACAGTATGCATCGTCTGTAAGAAGTATGAAGGTACAATCAACCAGACTGTCTTACTGTCACTGCTTCGGCTCCTTAGCGTGGTGCAACAGTCCTTTCTATAAATGCATACTTCCCTGAGCTGCCTTCATGGTTTTTATCATGTCGAGTCTTCGTTCCTGACCTTTACTTGCAAGGCTGTAAGCCCTAACAGTGCCTTGGCATGTGTGTCATCTGCTCAATTTCAGCGACCGCCCCGCCCTCCTCACACTTCTGCGCGTAAGATCCACACCTTGCTACTTGGCGTATGGTTTGGTCTCTTTCATGGGTTCTCTAGTCTGTAGGGTTTCCGAAGGTTTCGACTATAGGGCTGCTTTTCGTACAACGCTTTAGGGTTTGGGCTATTAGCCTTGAGGGAGTTTGGAGTTTAGGGATTAGGAAATTCAGGGTGTGAGCTGAGGTAGTTTAGGGCTTGGATCTTGGTAGTGATACAGTTTTGGCGTACTGTAATGTCAGTTTGGCACAACGATGCCCGAGCCGGCGGTGTGAGTTTCCTGATTAAGCCCGAAACCCCTAAACCCCAACCCCCAGGCCCTAAAACCCCTAAGCCCTACAACCTCAACCTAAACCCTCAGCTGTAAGCCCCACAATAAATGTAGTGAGACAAGTTTGGAGTCACCTACCCTGAAGTCTCCAACTTTGTAGTCTTAGTGTCCCCCATCGGTTTCCTTTTCAATGGTTCATGTTCGATGTGTATGATCTGGGCTTTCAGATGATGCTGATGATCACACTTGCGATGAAGAAGAAGAGGTGTTCTTGTTTTGCTGCTGCTTTGTACTTTTCCTCCGGTAAGCCGCTGCTGTTGTTGATGTTGCTGCTGGTGTCTGTGGTTTTTGTTGTTGCTGCTGCGACGAACCGGCTTGAATGCATCGGATCTCATCGATTTTTCCTGGTCTTTGTTTGGCTACCATTGCTGTGGCGGTGAGAGTGGTAATGTTTGCATGCCTCCATATGTCTACATCCAGGTCGCCGTCCATTTAATGATTTGTTCTCGTGGGGTCATGCTGCTATTCGCTGCTGTGCCAAATATTTGGTCCATGTTTTCTTGTTTAACGCGGTTTTAGGTTGCGAGGTTCTACGATCATACTTATAGGAGCTGTTTGTGTCAGTGAGGTGCTTGTGTAGCACCCATGTTCCGATACGCTTTGCGTTCATGTATTTCTAGAGCAGTTTATTTCAAGGCAATGCCCAGTCGTATGTTGCATCTTCTCTTATGTTGCAGAAGGTGCTGTGGTTGATTATGAGTCTTGTGGTTTCGCCACGAGCTTGCCCTGCTTGAGGATCTGCTACGATGGGCAACTGCCAGGCCAGCGAGGTGGGGAACCCTAAACCCTAAACCCTCACCCCTCAGCCACCAGGTGGGTGTCTCTTCGTTTGTGGGCTTCAAAGGTCGCCAACTGGGAAGCCTCAGATTGCGGAGAAAGAAACAGAGAGAGAGAGAGAGAGAGAGAGAGAGAGAGAGAGAGAGAGAGAGAGAGAGAGAGAGAGAGGGGAGAGGGAGAGGGAGGAGAGGAGAGAGAGAGAGAGAGAGAGAGAGAGAGAGAGAGAGAGAGAGAAAGAAAGAGAGAGAGCTAGAGAGAGAATTGGAGTGCAAGCAAGTGGGAAACCATGCTGCTTCTTTTGGCTGTGTGGAAGAAGAGCGAGAAACCATGACCCACACGCCTGCTTTGTTGCAGTGTTTTCATAGTGATCAAAGTTACGGTTTAAATGTTTGGGGGTTTGGGGTGGCCTGTGGGCCAGGGGTTTGAGGTTCATGGGAAGATCCCTCCAGTGCTCTCCACTACGAGCCTTTTGCAAGCAGTTGCACAGGTACCTACTGCGGAGGAAGTGGTCGTCAAGTCCCAGCCAAGGGCCAAGGACGATGCCCAGGAGGAAACCTCCACCCGCTCCCCGGCCCCGTCAATGGAAATCGACTCCACCCCACCCGCTGCCCCGGAAGTCGACGTGGCTGTGCCGGAAACTCGGCTTCTGATCATCGGAGAACGTGCGCTCTTGTTTGGGCATGGGGGCCCCAAGTGTTGCTTGTCCTATTCCTTCAAGATCCCTGAAATCCCACCGTGTGCTTTGTAAGAACCCAAGGAAGTCGACGCTGCGGCAGGAGATGCCACAGCTTCGGCCCCGGCGGAAGCGGAAGCCCCGGCGGAGCCGGCCGAGGTGAAGCCCGTGGTGCACGAGACCAGGCCACTCTCCTCTTGCCTTGCATTGGGCATCCCAGGAGTCAAGTAAGTGGGTGGCTGTCAAAATTAGGGTCCCTTTTTGGGTCCTGATTATAATAAGGCACCTAATATTTAGGGTACCCAAAAAGGGACCATAATTTGACAACCACCCAAGTGATGGGAGATTGGTTTGACTACATTTGGTCCACAGGTGCCAGGTGCACCTTGCGGATGTTCAGTCTTCATAGTCTGATATCACATCCTTTGTGTGCATCTCGGCTACGATTGATACTCGGCGCGGCCGGGATAAGGGAACAGGGAACTGCCCGCCTTTTGCAGGTTTGGACTCTTGCTCGAGAGCCTCTTGGTGGCAACTATTCGCCAGTTGTCTCCAGCTACGGGAAACTGTCAGGATCTAGCCGCATGCCCCTGAACCCTAAATCCTGAACCCCCGACCCTAACTGAGTAGCTGAGCGGATACACTTTACACTTTTTGGGATAGTACTACCCACTAGTACACTTTTTGGAGCTTATGAACTCAGCAACTAGGCTAAATCCTGAAGCCCCCGATCTGAAACCCTAATTCCCTAAACGAACGAGCTCAGAATTCAAAGCCTGCGAAATGCGGGACGAGACGCGTGCCCTCACGGACATCGACATGGCCAAGTTCTTCGAGGCCAGGAGGGGCTTCGAAACGCCCCTTAAAGCAACCCTAAATCCTAGACCCTAAACCTTAAAAAACCCTACACCTAAGAATCTGCAGAAGTTGATTTCGAACTTTGCGACTGCAGATGTAGATGATTCGCAGTGAGCTTGGGCAAGGACCCGCCCAGGTGTTTCTTTTTTGCTTCATGTGCTTTCTCATACATGTCAAAACGATAGGTTTTTATAGCTGCTAACAGCAATCTCGTTTTGCAGTGGTTGTCGTTAATTGTCCATGATCCGATCCTTTGCTTCGGGGTAGGTCGAGGGTTTCGGTAGTCCGAGAGTTTGGGGTTTTGGGGTTTTGGAACAGGGATTGAAGGAATAAGGTGTAAGGGTCCCATTTTCTGGGGAAGGTCCTAAGCCCTAAACCACTAAACTGCCGAGAGCGCCACTGACCATTTACATAGGCGCTCGAGGACCCCGGCCGAGCGTCTGGACGGAAACGACTCGGGTTTTTTTGTTCTGGCCTGGAGGGTAAGGGTGGGAATGGGCTTCTTTTCGAGGCGGGTCTGGATGCGCAAAACGGCCTTCCGGAGGGATGTGTGGTCAAGCCGGGTTTGCTGTCGGAGTTTGAGTTCCCCCTCGAAGCATCAGATGTTAATCAGGGAGGGAGCGGCTTGCCGAAAACCATTGCTTCTTGCCAAGCGGTTGGTGCAGGCTGCAAGGACCCACACGCCGACACCAATTCGGGTCCCTGGGTGTTGCAGAGTCGTGAGAAGTTGGCGTTGTGAAGATTGTGGCTTTCGAAGCTTCCAGGGGTCTCCATACTCGGAATCCGAAGCCTCAACGGGCAGTGTCTTGCAAAGCCCCTCTGCAGGCCTGCGATCTCTATCGCACCTTGGCATTTGAGAAGCTTCTTTCATCTTCTGCTTCCTTCTTCTCTGCAGGTTTTGGGTGAGAGCAACGACACCTCTCGTAGGGCCGAATATGGTGAAGGCTTTGGTTTGTGACTTTGGGCAAGCTAGCCACCAGAATCCCAAGCACGACGGTGAGCTTGGATCCTTACGTCGAAGCCTAAGAGAACTTGGTGCAAAGGGCTTAGAAAAGCGTGCTGAAGCTGAACCCATCCCTTCAACGATAATCCTGAAACCTTCAGCCCCGAATCGCGGAATCTGAAACCCTAATCCGAATCCTAACGGCCATACCCTGAGTCTTATCGCAAAACCCTTCAACCCAGGCGACATGCTCTCCAAGCTTGGCTCCGCGGCTGGCATCGTCTTGAAGGACATTGAGGGCAACCTCAAGAAGGCCCAGGTAGCTTGGAGGCGTCGATCTCGGTGGTTTCGGGCTTCATAGTTAAAGGCTCTGAGGCTGTGGTGCTGGGGAGCAGGGCATTTCGGGTTGCAGCGTTATGGGTTTAAGGTTCGGGATGTGTTCTGACGTGGAAGACTTTGGGCTGTGACCATGAGCCTAAACCCTAAACCCCCAATATACCCTAAAGCCCGAAAACCTCCAGCCCCAAACCCCAAAAGCCCTAAACCTCAACTCCTTAAGATCTAACCGTGAGCCCTCACATGTTTCTCGAAGCCGCAACATCTGAATTGGCGGAGCTCAGAGTGATAACGGGTTTGGGGATTAGTGTGTCCATGGTGCCTGCACACGGGTTTAGTATGGGTTACAAGAGAGTGTCATGTGGGTAGGTGCTGCTAAGTCCCAGCAGACGAACAAAATGGAACACCCTAAACTGGGTGTTTCCATCTTGAACATCCTCCGAACTTCCCGGATGTGTAGGCCCTAAATTATAAACCCCAAGCTCAGGGCCCGAACCTCCCGGATGTCTAGATCGAAAGCACCTAAGCCTTCAAGCCGCCATCGGAGGGTCGATTTTGGTATGTGAATCCCAAAGTTTATAAAGGCTTACTTGGAGGTTCATGGGTAGTTATAAAGGTTCTTTGAAGGATCCCTTTAAAGGGATCTAGAGTAATCCTAGCCCGAGTTCAAGCCTGGAGTGCCAGCCCGGAGCCCCAAGCGCTATAAGGTTTAGGGTTCAGGGTTTAGGGTTGAGGGTTTAGGGTTTAGGCTTTAGGGTTGAGGGTTTAGGGTTTAGGGTTTAGGGTTGAGGGTTGAGGGTTTAGGGTTTAGGGTTTAGGGTTGAGGGTTTAGGGTTTAGGGTTTAGGCTTTAGGGTTGAGGGTTTAGGGTTGAGGGTTTAGGGTTTAGGCTTTAGGGTTGAGGGTTGAGGGTTGGTTTAGGGTTTAGGGTTTAGGGTTGAGGGTTTAGGGTTTAGGCTTTAGGGTTGAGGGTTTAGGGTTGAGGGTTTAGGGTTGAGGGTTTAGGGTTGAGGGTTTAGGGTTTAGGGCGGAGGGTTTAGGAAGCCATGAAGCCCGCTAAGGGTCCGCAACTCTGGGCTTTGAGGCCGAATTCCAAAAACATGAACTTTGAAATTCAGGCCGTCAACCTCCCCTTGAAGGAATCCTTAAGGCCTTGAGGGCGCCCTTGCAGAAACCTTTAACAGGAACGCCTTTGAAGAAGCATAGTACGGGCTTAGGATCCCGCCATCCAAGGTGGTGTACAAGGAAGCGCCGGAAGCGAGACAGACCTTCTCTGGCTACCTGAACCTAGATCGAAAAGGGTTAACGGTTCAGGGTTTGGGGTAAGGGCCTCAGCATTTTTGGATTTTGGGTTTGAGGTTTTGTGTTTTTGTGCTTTCTGTTTCAAGATCGTTGAAGACACCTAAACTTTGATTCCTAAATCCCGACTCCTGCACCTGAACCACCGACCTTCCCCATCCAGTTTTTGGCCACCTTGATATTGTTAAGCAGGGCAGGTAGAAGCCTTTTCTGATGCTCCGGCTCGTTTCGGTAGGAGGTGGGGTTTTGGGTTCGAGGTTTAGGGTCCGTAATCTTAGATATCCAGCGTAAAAAATTGTATTTTGTTTGGCCCTATCTATTCGGTCTATCGTAGAAAGTCTGAACTTTTGTGGAGTCGCTTATTGAAGAAGAGAGTAGTGTTTACTTTTTGCTTCTGAGCTTTTGAATTGTGCTCCACCCGAAGCCTTTCAAGGAAAGCTTCGTCCGTTGAGGGCGTCACCTGGCTATTGAGGCCACTATGGGACGGTAGGAGCTCGCAGGTTTTTGGCGGGGCTGTTGCATTTCGCGCTAAGGGACGGCATGGACCAGAGCCGATCCCGAACAGCTGTGTGAGTAATGGCCATGCGACCCTTCTTGAGAAGACGGTACATCCGGTACCGATTTTTGCATTTCAGGGTGGCCCCGAACGGGTTTTTTTGGTCATGCATTTAGGACAAGAGGCACTTCTGTGTTCTTGATTCAAGCGATGATGACGCATCTGGCATCGTTTTGCCTTTTCAGGTCTCATTGACTGCCAGTTTTGTCATTCTCTGTTCTACAAAACCCAGGCCCTGAAGTAATCTTACACCCTGAGCCAAAGGCCTAAGCCATCAACCCAAAACTCGTACTCACATCAGGATCCCATACCCCAAGCCTCATGCTCACACAGGGGCGTGGAGTTCTTCATGACGATGATCAACCTGATGTTCACAGAGGAGAAGAAGGGTAACGCGGGGGTGGAGGCCTTCCGGACAGACGCCAGGTTTACGCCCATCAGCTCCAATCCTCCTAGCCCTAAGCCCTAAACCTGTAGCCATTCTGGCTCAAGCTCCCGTTGAAGCGACATGCATTGCGCGATTTCCACAAGGCCTTCCGTTGCAACCCGCAGTGGCCGTCAAGCGAGCTGCCGGATTGTCTGCTGAAGGCCTGAAGCAGTTCGGGGGGGTTAAGCGGGGTTTCGAGGGGGTTTGGTGACCGTGTGTGAGCAGAAGCTTGCGGCCAGGTGGAAGCGCGAGACGAGCAAAGTCAGGCTTGCGCCTTACGCATCGATGCCGGATTCAACAAGTGTTGAGTAGTTGCGTGGCAGGCGTTTCGAGAAGTCTTCCACGACACGCTGGAGGAGGTCAGCTGTTTAGACATGCTGTCTGGAGATGTGCCACATGTCTGCAATGCCAGCAGCCTTGTGACCTTGTTGTTTCCTTCAGCAGGTGGATGGGTGCGGTTTCGTTATTGACGTTAGGAGCATGTGCAACAGCTGCACGATGTTCTCCGCGATTTTTTTGGAGGAGGCCAGCTCTTCAGACGTGCTGTCTGCTGATGCGCCACATGTGGGAGCAGCAAATTTGCGGCCAGGTGGAGGCCCGCGACGACCACATTGAGGCAGGACCTGCGAGAATGCCTTCACCTCGCACTGGAGGAGGCCAGCTCTTTTTTGACATGCTGTCGTTCGATGCGCTACATTTGGGAGCAGCAAATTTGCGGCCAGGTGAAGGCCCGGGATGACCGCATCGAGGCTTACGCCTTACGCACGGCCGGATTCAGAAACGCTATGGGTACAGTTGTGTGGCAGGACCTGCGAGAATGCCTTCACCTCGCACTGGAGAAGGCCAACATAGGCCAGCTCTTTTGACATGCTGTCGTTCGATGCGCCACATTTGGGAGCAGCAAATTTGCGGCCAGGTGGAGGCCCGCGACGAGCACATCGAGGCTTATGCGTTATGCTCGATGCCGGCTTCGAGACGTCCTCCATGATGCGCTGGAGGAGGGCAGCTCTTTAAACATGCTGTCCGATGCGCCACTGTGGGAGCAGCAAAATTTGCGGCCAGGTGGATGCCCGAGACGAGCACATTCAGGCTTACGGCTGATGTCTTCTTCGACATGACAACACAGCTTACTCTTCGGCAGGTCCCTAACATAGTCGGTGCTTCAAAACAAAAAGCGATAAGAGATGCCAGTGGCCGTGGCGCGCGAGGCACTGGAATGGCAGCTTGAGCAACTCCGCGAAGCAGGGCCTGCGGATTCGATTTTCTGAGTGTCTGGTTTGTTGCTGTCCACCGACTTCAACAGACGCCAGCCCAGCCTCGGCGCTTGTTTTTTCGTTGTGTCGCGAGGTGCCTTGGCTTGGTGCCTGGGCGGCGGTGTGCATGCCTAGACAAGAGGCTCTACAGATTCGTTCGATGCCTACAAGGTGAGTTGTGTGTGTGTGTGTGTGTGCGCATGTGTGTAGTTGCAGAGATGCAGAGCATCGTTGCAGTGAGCAGTTCTTTCTCTGAGTGGGTGATGCCAGGTCGCGGTCACACCGACGGGCAAGTGCACGGACTGCTGCAGGGCAGACGTGTCTCCTGCAACGACCTGCCCAGACGAGGACAGGGACATTGATCTTTGGCAGTGGCCATTTCTTTCTGCACAGAGGCGTTTTCTTGGATTTTGCGTAATGCTAATTGAAGATGCCGTCGGCGACGAAGACTCCGCTCAGAGCTCAGACGGGTCAGACTAGTCCGACGTGGTCCGACTTGGAGCTCACTAGTCAGACCCTACCCTGCCCAGTCCTTGCTTGGAGGCCCGAAGCCGCGGTGGTGGCGCCGTCATGCAGGCGCTCGAGCTTGTGATGACAAGCATTGCGCAGCACATCTTCAGCTCAGGTCGGCGCCCGAGCGAGGCATTGGTCGAGGCCGTAGATGCGAAGAGGTCAGACGTTGGGCCCTTGAGACCCCACGTGAACCGGAGGACGGCAAGCAGAAAGTGCACGCATGGTGCACTGCACCTCCGGCAATGGAACGTGCCAGAGCGCGCGCACGACATCTATGCGCAACTTCTGAGACCGTCAACCTGCCAGGCTGCGTTCGCTTGTCCAAGCCTTGACGTAGTTCCGGTCGGAGTCATTCGACTCGCCGTTGGTCTTGTAGTCGATGTACCTGAAAAAAGGTCCTCCGTGTTTGGGGTTTTAGGGTTTATGGGCTGGGCATGGCTGGGCTGAGGGTTAAGGAAAATCTATCTTGAGTTATAAACTCTGAGTCACCCCCGGAAGCGTGAACCATGAACCGCAAACTTTAAACCGGAACACCTGAACCTTTGAGCTTGCTGAAACCCGTCATCAAATGCCCTCGGGGCTTAACAGGGCTTACTGTAGGTTGATGTTTTAAGGTTTAGGTTTTCGTGTTTAGTGTTTTGAGGGTACAGGCGCACTAGGTGCCCTCTTAGAGTTAGGTGCCCTGCCGGAGAGGCCTACAAGCAGACCTTGATGCAGTACCACGGCTGGGCCAGAGACCCAGCATTCTTCACGGATTTAGCTTCGCCGCGAGCCCTTACAACCCCTCAAAAAAGCCTTCAATACGAAACCTAAACCTTAAATGAAACTTCGAATGTAAGCCTTTAACTGATTTAAATCCGGGGCTCGGTGTTTTGGGTTCATCGTTTGGGCACGTAGAAAATTCAGTCTTGGTGGACCCGGAAACCTTGACGGAAGCGACATGCTTGGAAACTTTGAATGAGACTTGTAGGGCTCAGGGTTTGGGGTTAAACTGTTTAAAGTTTAGAGTCTACTACCACCGATCTGGGCAGAGAGCCAACAAACCGAAAAATCCCTCGCCAAGTGCACCAGAAAGCTCTGTCGGCCCCGGTTTCGGGATGTTGATTGAATGAACAGTCAAAGTCTCCGCGGCACCAGCACAGTCATCGTAGTCATTGTCGCTGCTGCGATTCTCATCTTTTCATGGCACCGAGATGTCGTCAGAAAACAATAGAACAACAAGGCAACAAACCACAACCCATCCAGCCCCTTAGCCCTAAACCCTAGCCTTTCGCAAAGCGAACTCCTGATTCCTAAAACCTCTTAGGGGGACGGAAAAAAGGTGCTCAAAAAAAAACATCCCTAAACCCGAAATAGTCTCCCTGAAACCGCGGCTCAGATGCTCCAGAAGACCGTGAAGCTTGGCATGCGCGCCATGCCTGGCAAGGATGGCATCGTCAAGTCCGAGGGCCTCATCATAGGCCGGGGTCCGGGCTTTTGTGGGTGAAATTGGGAGTTTGGGGTTTACACTCTAAACTTTAAAGTCTAAACTTTCAAGGTCAGGGATTGGGGTTTGGGTTTGGCGGGGACAGAAAAACCTTTTGTGAGCTCGGTGCGACGTGGCCAAACGCAAGACCAGATGCAGGCAAGAAGCATGGATGGCGACGGTGGTGGTGGTGGTGGTGGCGGTGGTGGTGGTGGTGGTGGTGGCGGCGGTGGTGGTAGTAGCATTTGTTGTCAGAAAAGACAAAAACATCGCATGGAAGTGTAAAGGTTATCAGCAAAAGAAGGCAGAGTAATAACGGGGGCAATCTAAGCTCGGGAACCTGCGAAACCGTGGTTGCTTGAATTGTTGTTTAAAGGTTGTAGAAAACCATGGTGTTTTGAAGTGCTCTCAAAGGTTTTAGGGTATAGGGTTCAGGGGCCCTGATCTCTTGGCATTTTTTTGCTAGATGTCCACATCCAAGCAGGCTTTGGCAGGGAGTGCAGAAAATCCGAGGGTCCTAAGTGCTGTCATGGTGCGAAAGGTTTCCGAGGTGTTCTGGTGGTTTCAGGTTGTCTTGTTGGGGCTTCTTTGCGCTGTCTTGGTGGTCTCCTGTTCTCCCGGTCGTTTTTTGGCTGTCTGCTAGTCTCTTTCGCTGTTTGGGTGATATAATATACACTGGCATGATCCTGAAGTGTAGTATGTCTATGTCAGGTGATGTGCCTGCCGACCAAAGGACAAAGGTTTGCGAGCGCGACGCACCTGCAGCCTCCGCTGCAGGGCTGGAAGTGCAGCTTGGATATTTTTGCTAAGATTTTATTGTAAGGGCATCAGGATGTTGTGATGACGACTTTAGAGCTCGTTTGGGTCCGGCGTAAGGTCTTAATCAGAGATCGAGAAGCTGCCAAGAGTTTTAGAAAACTGGGGTTCAGGAGAAGTCCAGGGTTGCAGTCTACTCGTATAAACGTTTGCAGTCGGATCAGAAGGATCAGAGCAATGATGCTGACTTCCAGTAGAAGCCGCAGCGAAGTCGCAACCATAGCCATAGTTATCCTGGTTATACCTGTCATCAGGCTTTTTGTAATCATGACCATGGTCATGACCGCGTAACCACGTATAAGACTGGCACTACGTACAAGCCATGCACCCAGACACCCGGGAGGATCCAAAAAGTAGATCCCTTAATGGGGGTTCCTATAAAGTACCCTTAGTAGTATAGGGCCCCAAATAAAGGGATCTGCTTTCTAGATCCTCCCGGGGGGGGGGCAGCCGCAGCTGCAAGTATCGATCAATCCCGCATGAAGTTCTTATCGCCGTTCGGGCGCCTACCCAAGGCACCTTAGGCTCCCTGTAGAAATAGAAGACCCACCCTACAGCCACCCAACTTATAACTGTCCATGAACCTTCAGACTCCTCCCTCCCACCGATTTTTTCCGTTGGGCCGTCTTGGGTCTCAGCAGTCGTTTGCACAGTAGCTTCTGTGAGTCGCCCTATTTTGTCTAGACTTTCTACGCCCTAAGCCTTGAAGCGTAAACACTAAGACCCTTATGCATTCTAGGTGGAGCTTTCGGGCATAACCAGCATAGGGTGGCATTGTTTTCGGAGGCCGCACCTTTCTTTTGAGGATCGGTTCTCGTGGGAATGCGGTTCAGGGTTCACGGGGTTTAGGGTTTAGGGCCCATTTTCCTAGGCTTCTCGGTATCATGCCGAACACTACAGCCAAGCCGGCCCCCGCTTCGGAGCTTGCGACCCTAAGCCCAAGCACCAAGGGTGCGGTGGATGGTGGAGCTGATGAAGAAGGAAGGTAGATGGGATGCCAAGAAAGCGTGAGCTTCTAGAAGGCAGACCCCACCTCCTTTTTAAACGGAGGGTCGACCCAGAAAGTGTTCAGTTTCATTTGTGCTTCGGCAGCAGATCCGAGGCAGAAATGAGCCGGAGGCAGCAGCAGGATCTACTAGGGCTTTTTAGATTTTAGTGTTTAGGGATTAGCATGCATCTGCACCAAAGTTGCATCAGCAGCCGTAGCTAGCAGCTAGACGCTTTACAGCCCTGCTTCCTGGTGGCTGTGGGTTCTCTGCGAAGAGTGGTGATGGATCACTAGCCGCCCAAGGCTGCCGTACTACGGCTCTTATTTTCTAAGGTTTCCAGTTTTGTTCTGCTTAAAGCAGTTTGAGAACTGTTGTACAGGCCTGAAAGAAGGCTCTCAGTACCAAGTAAATGCGCCCTATGCTTGCATCCGTTCCGGATCAAGCACCTGGAAAGCTCCAAACAATGAGCACATCTCTTCCATCACGAGCATTTTTATGTTGAACGTCCTCGGCTTGATTTGTGATTCTGGTTTGCCCTGTGACGCGCGAGGGATCCGAGTTCGGCCGCCCTGTGCTGTATTGGCTGCTAGACTTGCATGCATCCCTGTCCCGCGGTGTCATACACACCAAAACTGCTGCTGGGCCGCAATAGGTCCACAGTTGGCGTTTGACCTCATACGATGCCTTATGATCAACCCCCAAACCCTACAGCCTGAACCCGAAACTCCAAACCCTAAACCCCTAAACCTAAAAAACAAGAACCCGAAATCTCAAACCCTCCTCGAGCTGGATTTGGGCTCAGGGTTCAAGGTTGGTCCCGACTATCCACCCTGATTGCCTAAGGGGTTGAGTAGGTAACCTTTAACCTTTTGGGGCTTATATACGCCTACCATAAACTAGAAGGTTTTACCTTTTTGGGCTAGGATACTGAACCCCCCCAGTCTGAAAGTGTTGGATTTTCAAGAGTTATTGCACCTTGCCATCTCTTATTTTCACAGCATCCGCTACAGCCACATTGTGCTCAAAATCTGAATCGACAAATTTCTCCCATCAGTTCTGGAGACACCTTACATGACGTGGCATGTTCTGACGTCGTCTTGAAATCTTGTGCGTCTATTTCCGTTCCCGGCTGTGACCTTATGCCGCTTATTTTCTTGCATGTTTGTCCATCGTGCACAGTGCAGATTTTCAAGCCCTTCCAAATGTTCCCAAGCTTCAGTAGGCTTTGACGCATGCACTGCTTCTTGTAGAGAGTATCCATGCAAGCACCTACATGACTTCACGGCGTAGAAGAGAGCTGTCAACAGGAGTTTCAAGTATCACAGGTCAAGGACTTCAGTAGGCTCCGTTTTGTGTTGCTGGCATGCTTGGCAGAAATAGTTCCGATTGTATGGCATTCTGAGTTCTTCCACCGCATCATTTGGTCTACATACTGTTTCCCCCAGATTCGTGAATCCCTTCCTATTCCTGGTGGTCTCTCTGGTGTCTGAGCAGTATCTGTGCGATTTTCCTCCAGGTGTACTATCTCCAGTAAGCGAGTAATGGTGGATTGATCAACTTAATTGGCAGCTTGCGTCTCTTCCGTCAAGTCCAAACAGGCTTGATGAAACCCGTCTCCCTCTCCCTCTCCTTTTCAGGTTCACTCAAGCTCACCCGCACTCACTCAAGTGGTTTTGCCCTGCCTCTGTCCTTTCAAAGCCCGAGTTTCTCACTCACTCTGTCTCTCTCTGTCTCTCTCTGTCTCTCTCTGTCTCTCTCTGTCTCTCTCCCTCCCTCTATATATATATATATATTATATATATATATATCTCTCTCTCTCTCTCTCTTTCTCTCTCCCTCCCTCTCTCTGTTTCTCTGTCAGCCCGGCATGCTTGGGCCCTCCAAGGCCGAGCTAAACATGGGCTGCAGCCAGGCACCTCAGGCCCGGGTGTGTTCGAGCTTGCCAGAAGAGGGCTCAAGGGTAGAGTTAGGAAGGGTTCTTAAAGGGCTCCTTAAAGGGATCTATATAGGGTTCCTTAAAGGGATCTATAGAGTTTAGGGTTTAGGGTCGGGTGCCACCAGGGTACTACTTTGCGGTTGCTTTTTTGGGGGATGGGATGCTAGGGTTCATGGATTGAAGTTTCGTGGTTTAGGGGTTGCAGTGTTTGGGCTTCTCAAGGGTTTAGGGTTTGTTGGGGCTGAAGCATCGGGTTTTGGGGCTCGGCCGTTTCGGCTCTAAGAGTTGGTTTGAAGCGATCAGGGCCCGGAATTGCCCTGACAGTGTCTGCAGCATGACCAACATCGGGGTGTGATTGGGACGCTCTACGGTCCTCATGATCAGATTTGAAACCCAGTGTTTAGGTTTTAGGGTTTGGCGTGACAAAGAGCCGCCCAGGCATCTCCCGCCGCGGAGGTCGTCGTCAGCCCCACGCCCAAGGCCAAGTACGACGCCCCGGAATCCGCCTCAGCTCCGTCTCCGGCAACCACTGTTCCGGGGGATGCCGTGTCTTCAGCTCCGGTGGAAGTGGATGCTACGCCTCAAGCAGCGGCTGGGAAGGAATTTAGTTGAAGCTACCATAATCGGGAAGCCATATAATTCGCTATAGCACGGAATGGCCACCCAACTTAGATCCCTCAAGACAAGCCCAGGTGGAAACAGCCGATGTCAAGCCAGTGGTTCATGAGACAAGGCCCCCCGTCGGTTGAGCGGGGTGCCTCAACACTGGCATCATCTTGTGCGATCTCTTTGGACATATTGCATGTCCATCATACATGCTTGCTTCTTAGGTTCTGCTCCGTGTCCATATGGGAGTTTCCGAAAATAGGGGACCCTAATATAGTACCCCAAATAGTAGGATCCTTATTATAAGGGCCCCACAATAAGGTACCCCTAGTTTTCGGAAACTCCCATATAGCGTGCGTGCTTTCATGTCCGCAAAGACCTGCGTCTGCGTCTTTTTTGCGCCTTTCGGAGGTTCGGGCTCTTGCTGGAGAGCTTCTTGGCAGCACCTCAAGCACCTCTTCTTAGGGTTTAGGGTTTAGGGTTTAGGTTTAGGGTTTAGGGTTTAGGGTTCTTGAACGCACCGGCTTGTCTTCCTTCATTTTCTGTAGCCCGCAAGATTAACTTGGGCATGGCCCGACTCCCGAAGCCCAAAGCCCAAGCTACCCGCGAGCTCAGAATTCCGAGCCTGCGAAATGCGGGACGAGTCCGGCGCCCTCACGGACATCGACATGGCCAAGTTCTTCGAGGCAATGTGCTTCCAAGTGCCCCTTAAAGCAGCGATGCACTGGAGATGTCTGATCGATGTATCCAATGTTTCTTGCGTTTCAAGACAGTGTACAGTACCTGGAATGTCTCTGCTAAGCACCAAACAAAGCTGCAAGGTTCTCAGCTGCAGAACATGCCCTAATTCCTTAACCCTCAACCCTCAACCCTAAGCCCTCAACCCTAAACCCTGAGCCCTGAACCCTGAAACCCCTAAACCCCTGAACCCCGCTGTTGCAGCTGCTCGCCGGCCCGGATTCTTCGAAGGGCAGCTGCCTCTCGCGTTGACATTTGTGAGTGGGCTGCCCTGAACCACTCCAAACACTGAGCCGAGCGGTTTAATGCTTAGGGGTTTGGGGGGGAATTAGGGTATCCGGGTTTTCAGTAGCGGGTGGCCCCGAAAGACGTGGTGTAGGGCTTAGGGCCCAAACTAGGTCTTGAACTTGCATGCTGCGCCCACTCAGTAGCAAATGAATCAGGACATATACGGCCCTCCATTGTGGACTGTTACTGCATGAGGGCACCCAATCTTGAACCCTACATCCAATACCAGAATCCCGAAATGATAAGCCCCGCACCTTAGACTGCGTACATCCCAAGCTTACTTCTGAAAAAACTAAACCAACCCTGCGTCGCAGGCCTGCGAGCTCTACCGCCACTGCGCTGCACTGAAACCCGCAAACGTTAAGCCCCAAAACTCCAAACCCTAGACCCTCAAGTTGGGTATTTGGATGCAGAGGCGCAGAGCGATGTCGAAGTAGCGCACACATCCTGAATCCTAATCTTACAAGATCCCGAGGGCTAAAGAAAGGGAGGGGTAGATCGGTTTTTATACTGTTCCAAAAGCATTCCAGAAGCATTCCTGAAAAACGTGCGAAAACATTCTGATTTTGATGCAGAGCTGAGAAGTATTCCAAAATGCGTTCCACGGGGACCCTCTGACCAAAAAGTGTTCCAAAACGCATTCCAACGGAGCGCTTTGCAGAACACTTTCCGGAACACTTTTTTGGAACGCTTTTTGGAATGCCTGTGACCTGGATCTGGAGAGGACGGGCCCCCGAAAAGGCATTCCAAAAAGTGTTCTCAAAAAAGCGTTCCGCCAATGACATGCTGCTGAAAAAGTATTCCAAAAAGTGTTCCAAGATGTGTTTCCAGCCGGAAGCTTTCAGATTCAAGGGTGCTCTCTCGGATGCTTTTCGGCACACTTTCGAATCTGGAACACTATTCTCCAGGCTTTTCTGGAACACATTCGGAATGATTTTTGGAACACTATTAATCAATAATCAGGATTCAGGCCTTTGGCTCCTGGGGGATCTTGTAATCCTAATCCCTAAACCAAGGCGACATGCTCTCCAAGCTTGGCTCCGCGGCTGGCTTCGTCTTGAAGGACATTGAGGGCAACCTCAAGAAGGCCCAGGTAGCTCGGAGGCATCGATGTCGGTGGTGCGGACAGGGCTCAGGACTTCAGACTTGAGCCCTAAACCCTAAAGCCCCTAAACACTAAGCCCTAAGCCCCTATACCCGGAGCCCTAAATGCTCGGATCCCTGAACCCCAAGTGGAAGCTTTCTGGTTGAAGGGCTTGCGGTCTGGCATGGCGTCGAAGGCGTCCCTCTGAGGGCGTTTTTCTTTCGGGTTTAGGGGTTGCTATTTTTTTTGGCTTGTTGACGTCGCAGGAGGTGAGCAGCGCTGCACAACCACACAAATCTAAGCCGGGTTCTGCACCATGAGAACCCTGAAACGCTTAGCCGATTTAGACCCAAAGTCCAAAGCCTTCAATCCATTGTCCAAATGAGGGCTTAGGGTTGAATCTTGAATCTGAGTCCTCGCCCGAGAGCTTCAACCGGCGCCAGAAGCGCAGGTCGTCAAGCCTTGTAAAAATCCGCCACCTCTATCTCTGAACCGGCATTTCGGCGCTCCAGCAGGAACGCCTCACAAACCCTGAACCCTGAGCCGTAAGCCCTAAAACCTGAACCTTGAAGCCTGAAACCCCTGCCCCGAATTTTGAAGTCAGGTGGTTTACCAGGAAGCACCGGAAGCAAGAGGGACCTTCTCCGGCTACCTGAGTCCAGATCGAAATGATGAGAGTCCCAAAAGCTTTCGGCTTTTGGTGTTCTAGGCTTAGGTCAGGTCTTAGGGTTTTAGGTTTTCGATGCTGGGTTCAGGGCTTAGGGTTCAGGGTTTCGGGTTCACCTTTGCATTTGTTCTTTTGGGTTTTGGGTTTTGGGTTTAGTGCTTTGTGCCTCTAGATCTCATAAGATATCTAAATCTTGATCTCTAAGCCCCACAAGCCCATGGGAAGATGCCAAAGTGCGCAGACTCGCGCGCATGGCTCTAGCAAAGAAAACCCCTAAACCCTGAGCCCCACACCTGAAACCTCGGACGAGATATGTCTTTGGGTCTTATGGGTTCGGGGTTTAGGGTCTGTCATGGCGAGGATCTGCTGGTCGGCCATGCTCCGTGCTTGAGCGTTTCAACTCTGAGCTTCTTGTAAAAATTCCTCCCCTGGGCCGAACCCAACCCGAAGCGAAACCGAAGCCGTTACACGGTTTAGGGTTTATGGTTTTTGGCTCATCAATGCTGTCTGTGCACAAAAACTCCCTCGTAGCTTTTGAAGGAAAGCTTCTTCCGTTGAGGGCGTCACCTGGCTGTTGAGGCCATCCGAGACAGGGGGGATAGTAGCTAGAGGTTTTAGAGCTAAGCTAAACCCTAAAACCTTAGCCTTAATCCGTCATGGACTCAGGGGCCGAATGAGCCCCAAGACCTGCGGGAAGAATGATCTGCTGGATGGGCTGAGGATGCAAGGGACATGTTTTAGGATTTGTGCGAGGAAGGGCTGGTCTCGCAAGATTTAACTAGGACCTGGAGTAGGGCCCTATTCCCTTTTTTGTAAGGTTCAGGTTCCCTTATAAGCCACCCTTTTTATTCCTAGGTTACTCTTGAAGAAAAGCATTCTGTTTCTCTTGATGCAGGCTGTTATGATGCAGCTGGCAGTGTTGTTGCTTCTCAGACTGTCTCATCGCTGGCCCTGCCGTTCTCGTTTCTGTATTGCCCAAACCCACAACTCTACCCGAAGCCAAAGCAGCAACTCTTAACCAGCATACCAGAATCCCACACCCAAGCCCGATTCTCCGAAGGGGCGTGGAGTTCTTCATGACCATGATCAAGCTGATGTTCACCGACGAGAAGGGGAATGCTGGGGTGGAGGCACGCAGGGTTTCGGGTTTAGGCTTGCTCAGAGCTTCTGGCTCAGACCCAGGGGGTGAATTAGGATTCAGTGTCTAGTGCTTAAATCCTTGCTGCCTGTGGTTGGTGCCAGTCAACTTTTTGGACCTATTGCTGTAACTACGTCTTACATGTTGTAATTGTCTTATTCCACTACTGTCGTTATCAGACTGTCGTTGTGAGCACAGTCACGTCACCAGCACTGCCACCGTGATTCATGCAGCTTCTCGATCCCTAAAACCCAGTCCGTTGAAGATCTTAAACCCGAAAATTAGACCTTAAACCCTAAACCTTTAAACCCTAAGCCCCAAGCCTCTCAACCCCTAAGCCCCAAACCCCCAAACCCCTCAACCCTAAACCCCAAACTGCCAACACCTCCAACCCCAACTTCCCCGTCACCAAAGCCTCGCCCTAAGCTTCATAAGCCCGAGAGTCCTACCCTAGGCCAGGGTATGGAGTACTGCGACTTCTTCTGCTAACCTATGGGTCTGAGTACTTACTAGTTTCCCTTAGAGTCAGTATACAATCGCAGAATAACATACCTTCGGCTTCTTTTGCAACGGCGACGACTACGAGAATGATGATGACGAGGGCGCGGCGACAACGACGAAGACGACGACGATCATCAGTAGGCTACTTCTGCGATTGCTATGAGCAGGCCTACAAGCAGACTCTCATGCAGTACCACGGATGGGTCGGGATCTCAGATCGTTTGGGTCCCTTTGAAACCCCGAGCTTGTGCAGTCTTGGGCTCTTAAGTTCCAGCCCAAGTCCAAAACCCCAAAATCCCAAGCAATAGCACCTTAGTTCCCCCAACTCCCCGTCCCGCCAGCAAATCTCCGGTCTGATTATTCAGGCCTCTATACTACCCGACAACGGTTCATAAAGACCCGATTCCTCCTTGAGCGTCTATGCCCAGGTTCTCCTGCCCTCAGCTTGAATTTCGTAGGGAGTTAGCTTTTAGAGCACTTAGGAATACGGCGATTAAGATTCTGCACGATGACTTGTCTGACGAAGGCGATACGGTGGTAATTGCTGCGTTTCTTTTCGGGGTGGTGTTGAGATTTTGCTGTTCTCATTGTCATTTCGTGGTGATTCGGACGGGGCCCCCTAAACCCTAAACCCTAAACCCTAAACCCTAAACCCTTAACCCTTAAACCCTAAACCCTAAAGCCCCCATAAACCCTAACTGCAGCCTCCACCTTCAGCCCCAGACACTGCGCAGCCATGAACACGGACGCCAAGCCCAGAGACCTACACCCGAAGAAGTACGCAAGAAGCCCTGTAAGAGCAGCAAGAGTCAAGCGCCGAGATGCTCCAGCAAAAGGCCCCTAAACCCTAAACCCTAAATCCTGAACCCTCAACCCAAAACCCCACACCCTAAAGCCAAAATCCTAAATCCTAAACCCTCAACCCTAAGCCCTTAACCCAAAACCCTTAACTCTAAACTGCCGAGTGGGCCGCTGACCATTTACATGGGTGCGCGAGGCTCCGACCGAGGCCTTTGGCCGAGCGTCTGGTCAGAACGGTGAGGGAGGGTAAAGCCTCCCCGTATACAGGGACAGACATAGCTCGGCTGCGCCTCACACAAAGCGGGCGTCAGCCCGTTTAAGGAGGACCAAACCCTGCACCATCGGATCTAGGGTTTGGGGGTGCCGTGCCCTGCCGTGCCCTGCCCGCTGCCCTGCCAGGATAGGTCTTCACACTTCGAGCAACCCTTAAAACGGGTGCGAGGGGTTGTTTGTGAAAAGCTTGTTATCGTCGACCGGCGGGCACAGGCCGCGAGGACCCACAACACGACACCAATCCATCTCAGCTGCGGCTTGCTGTGAAATGTAGTCGTGTAGGCTTAGCCGCAGCCTCTTGTCGTGCCCGCGTGTCCGTCAGAAGTTGCCCTATACTACATTCACTACGCTCGGTGGACCTTCTGTGCATGATCGTTTCTGAAGTTAGTCTCTGTCTCGTGCCACGTTTCGTCTGACCGAGAGCGAACAACGTCTCCATGAGATGCTGCGCTGGAAGTCTGTCACAGGGCCTGGCCATGCAGTTGGACAACCGGCACAGCCCTTGCCTGCAAGCGCAATCTCTTCATGGGTGCTGACCCATCATGGCCATGCCCCAGGCCCTAAACCCTCAACCCTGAAAGAAACCCTCAATCCTGAACCCTAAACCCTCAAGACTTCCCCTGGCCGACCTGAAGCAGGTTATTAACCCGGACCGGCAGAGTTTCTAGGACTTAGGGTTTAGTGTTCAGGGTTCCGGGTTGGGCGTCTAGGATCCAGGGTGTAGCTTCTAAGGGTGTCGGCAGCAATCTAGTCCTTCCTGGTCTTGTGCCTATGAACCTTGACCCAGCAGCTGTCCGACCGCTTTTTTCGCCACAGTACAAGATTTAGGGCCTTCTGGAGGTTTTGGATTTTAAAGTTTCAGATTGAGGGCTTAAAGGGGCTTCTGGGGTTCAAATAGGACCCTATATAGTATGGTAGGTTGGTCTATGATAGTGCTAGGATTTTAGGGCGTTTCGCGTTGCACTTGAGCAGTTGGAGTATCACCCCCTGCGACTTCATGCCATGGCTTGCTGCGTTGAAGGGAAGTCGCAGACACCTCTGGAAATCTACGCCAGATCGCTGCCCGACGACGCAGATGCGGCTGGGCACCATGCGTGTCCGGGTTTGTCTGAAGGGTGAATGTGAGGAGGGTCTAGGGTGTTCGGGCTGAGGAAGTAGCTCCCTAGGCACAAGCCCCCTGCATTAGCGTAGAGGTCTGAACAATCGGTGCCAGTGCTATCGCCTTACTTTCAGGCCCAGTATAGTTTCGCTCCGATATACCCCATACCTGTTTAAGGTCTGTATTGTTCCGGCCCTAGGTTACATTGGTGGCAAAGCACACTCCGAAAGCATGGAATACGTATAAGGCCCTTATAACAACCATTGATTGAAGCCCTTATAAACGCCCTATGCCTGATCCAAAAACTCGAGAAACATCTACGATCAATTGCTCCGACTTATTCAAGAGGCGCTGCTCTGACTGCCCAGGGCCTCAATAGGGTCAGACAGAGCCTGGTATCCAACTATCATATGGGAATTTCCGAAAATACGGGGGTACCTTATTTCAGGGTCCTATTAATAAGGATCCTACTATTTTGGGTACTATATTTGGGCCCCCTATTTTCGGAAACACCCCTCTAGGCTAGGATAGGACCCTCTCTTCAAGCTATCCATCTTGCTGATCTTGCAAAGGACATGGGCAGTGAGGCAGACACTGTATCACATTACTATTGCCTTTGCTACTGCTGCTGCTGCTGCTGATGCGGTACCTGCTGCTACACTGTTATTGCCTCGACGCTTACAATTACGGCTTTGTAGCGTTGCCAATTTTGGGGACGTCTTCGTGATCGTCGTCGCCGTGACCAAAATCACGCAAACTTATAAAGGTCATCATCGTCACCATCATCATCACCATCATCATCATCGTCATCATCGTCATCGTCATCGTCCTCACCATCATCATCATCATCATCCTCATCCTCATCCTCATCATCATCACCCTCATCATCATCCTCATCATCATCATCATCACCATCATCCTCATCATCCTCATCATCCTCATCATCATCATCATCATTATCATTATCATCATCATCATCGTGATCATCATCCGCGTCGGCATAGTCGTCCTCATCATCGTCATCGTCAGCACCAGCATCCTCATCCTCATATTCATCCTCATCTTCATCTTCAGGAGGGGTTGGTTTTGAGGGTTTGGTATCTCAGGTTCAGGGTTCTACGGTTTTGGGTTGCTCAGGTTCCGCCAATGCACTACCCCATGTACACCGTCCATGCAGACGCGTTGCTGAAGATGACGAAGGTTGAGCCGCACGAGCAGTTGAAGGCTTTGGGGATCAAAAGAAGGACGGAGAGAACAGCCCATTTAGAGAGCTAGGGTTTATAGGGGAACTACAACAGATGAAGGCTGGAGGCAAAGTTGCAACTTAGAGTTCACAGAGATTTTCGGTCAGGTGTGCCCTAAACTCTAAACCCCAAAGCCGGCCTCGGCCCCAAACCCTATACTTGGAGGTTCAAGGGTACTTATAAGTAGGGTGACAAGTAGGGTAACTTTCGTTATAACCCATATTAGGGGACTTATAACCCCACTTACAACTACCCATGAACCTCCAAGTAGACCCCAAACCCTTTACCCTTATAGAATCCCTATATATCCCTTTCAAGTAAAAACCCCTCTGCTTCAAGAGCCCCAAGACCCCAAAAACCTCGGTCCAGGCGACGTCTCTCCGGTTCTAGATTTAGGGTTTAAGATGTAGGGTTTTGGGTTTTAGGGTTTGGGGTTTCGGGTTCTGGGTTTAGGGTTTAGGGTTTTAGGGTTTGGGGTTTCGGGTTCTGGGTTTAGGGTTTAGGGTTTTAGGGTTTGGGGTTTCGGGTTCTGGGTTTAGGGTTTTGGGTTTCAGGGTTTGGGGTTTCGGGTTCTGGGTTTAAGGTTTAGGGTTTTGGGTTTTAGGGTTTGGGGTTTCGGGTTCTGGGTTTAAGGTTTAGGGTTTTGGGTTTAGGGTTTCGGGTTCTGGGTTTAAGGTTTAGGGTTTGGGGTTTCGGGTTCTGGGTTTAGGGTTTAGGGTTTTGGGTTTTAGGGTTTGGGGTTTCGGGTTCTGGGTTTAAGGTTTAGGGTTTTGGGTTTTAGGGTTTGGGGTTTCGGGTTCTGGGTTTAAGGTTTAGGGTTTTGGGTTTAGGGTTTGGGGTTTTAGGGTTTTGGGTTTAGGGTTTGGGGTTTCGGGTTCTGGGTTTAGGGTTTAGGGTTTTGGGTTTTAGGGTTTGGGGTTTCGGGTTCTGGGTTTAAGGTTTAGGGTTTTGGGTTTTAGGGTTAGGGGGGTTTCGGGTTCTGGGTTTAAGGTTTAGGGTTTTGGGTTTTAGGGTTTGGGGTTTCGGGTTCTGGGTTTAAGGTTTAGGGTTTTGGGTTTTAGGGTTTGGGGTTTCGGGTTCTGGGTTTAAGGTTTAGGGTTTTGGGTTTTAGGGTTTGGGGTTTCGGGTTCTTGGTTTAAGGTTTAGGGTTTTGGGTTTTAGTTTTTGGGGTTTCGGGTTTAGGGTTTTGGGTTTTAGGGTTTGGGGTTTCGGGTTCTGGGTTTAAGGTTTAGGGTTTTGGGTTTTAGGGTTTGGGGTTTCGGGTTCTGGGTTTAAGGTTTAGGGTTTTGGGTTTTAGGGTTTGGGGTTTCGGGTTCTGGGTTTAAGGTTTAGGGTTTTGGGTTTTAGGGTTTGGGGTTTCGGGTTCTGGGTTTAGGGTTTAGGGTTTAGGGTTTTGGGTTTAGGGTTTTGGGTTTTGGGTTTAGGGTTTAGGGGATTTATGCCGTAGGGTCTGAATGATGGGGTTTACGATACTGTAGGCAAGGTTACTCTATGCTGGGTCTACAAGGGTTATACCAGAATGGCTCTCAAAAAGCGATCTTGTCAGGTTTTGACACCACGGGTTGCAAGAGGGTTTAGGGCCTGGAGTTTGAGGTTTATAGCCTGCAGAGATGTAAGTTCCCAGAGGACAGTCGATCTAGCGTTTAGGGTCTTAATGCAGTCTGTTATCGTTGGTTCAAGGCCTGGGGCAAGCTCGTGGAGTTTACCGATGACTTGGGGCGAGCAGCTTTCGTGTCGCACCAGTGGCTTACGCAACAAGACCCAGATCCCGATTTCAAGCAGATGCGCACCCTGCAGGATGCAGTAAGGCGAATCCTGCACAGCTCGGGATACCTTGGCCTGGATATCTTTACAGAAGGCATTGTGCAAGCGGCTAAGCCGCTTCCCTTGAAAGACTTTCAGGCCAATGCGTTGTTCTTCTGGTACGATTATTTCTCATGTCCGCAGCTCCCCTATTCGACAATGGTTGTCGAAGAGACATCTTCCACCCTAGCCGATGCTATCTGCAGCATCCCAGCCTATGTAGCCAGGTGCGCGTTCTTTCTTGCGCTTTGTCCGGTTCTCGACTGCCCCGCGGAGGACAAGGTGCTCACAGCCTAACCCTCCATCCGTAAACTCCCTAACCGTACATCCCTAAATTGGTGAGCCTTATAAGGCTTATTCCCTAAACCCTATACATCCCTTTGAGGAACCCTTACAGATCCCTTTAAAGGAGCCCTGTTAAGGAACCCTAAGTTACTAAGTCCCATGATCCTTCAAGTAAGGTGCTCACAGCAGCGACCTGGAGCAGCAGGGGGTGGTGCCGCCTCGAACGAGCTGCTCGGGAGCTGTCGTCAAACAGCACTTGGATTCTAATTCGAAGCGAAACCAGGCTGTTCAGTGGTAGGTTCAGAGTTTTCGGGTTTAGAGTTTAGGGTTTCGGGCTTCTGGGTTGTGGGTTTCTATTTTAGTTCCGCAAAATAGGTAACTGTTCTCAGTGCGTTACTGAACAGCCTAGGAAACGTCCATTGAAGGCGTTGGGACGGCGCTATCCTTTCCGAGTGGCTCTGTTGGGCAAGGCGACTTCGGCGTTGAGGAGGATCGCCAAAAGCTAGCCCCTGTGATGCGGCGTATCCTCATGCAGAAGCTGAACTACTGCTTGCGAGTGGGCGACCTGCCTGGATTCCGGCGCCACTTAAACCTCCAGACGGTTCACTTGCGTGGATTGGAGATCGAGCCAGTCGCCGGCCTGCTTCCCAACTGTGAGGCCGATGGCAACGATGCGGTGGCGGAGTTCCTTCACCAAAACGGCCTGAGGAGGGTCGACAAGGCAGACAAAGCGGGATGGTGTCCTCTGCACTATGCTGCACTAGCCGGCAACGTAGAGGTGCTGAGAGGCCTGCTGGATCAGCACGCCGATGTGAACCGGCGCACGTCGAAGGATGAGCCAATGCTGGGCCTCCCTCTTTGGCTATCGGCACTGGCTATGACGGTTTTTTACAAGCACCACGAGGCCACACAGTTGCTTGTTGGGGCAAGAGCTCACTTTGAGGGCGGAACCGCTCCAGCTGTCCTGCTGGCGGCTGACGGAGACAATCCAGAAGGTATACGGGTGTTGTGTTCAGCAGGTGCCAGCCCACTTGCCCGGAACATTGTGGGTTTCTCAGCCCTCGAAAATGCAGCAGCCTTCGGAGCCACAGCAGCGTTGGAGGAGCTGGTGATGCAATATCCTTATCCACCCGCTTCGCTCGAGCTTTCTCGAGCACTCATCTTTGCTGCTGGATGTCGGGGTGGGTCGGCAGAGCTGGTGCAGCGACTCATCGCCCTCCGTGCCGACGTCGACGTTAAAATGAATGTGGCACGCGACGTCGGCACTGTGGGCCGGCTGCTTTTTATGGCGAAGTCTTTCCAGCATTGGCTTGGCCGTAAGACTGGTCTGACGGCTTTTGCCTATCACTTCCATGGCAGCACGCCGCTGATGCAGGCCATCCGGTCGGCTCAATTTGAGGCCGCTGCAGCCCTGATTCTGGGTTCTGGTTCAGGAATTACGAATAAGTTGCCATAATAAAGAAACCACATTTTCTACAGTACTTTCCTTGACACAAACCAACCATGTCTCTTCAGACAGTGTCTTTGCCAAGCGGCTACAGTTACCTATGTTTTCACATATAACTCCTGAAAGTATTCTGGGTTTACTATAGATCCCTATTATGGTAACTTAAACCCTAAACCCTACCCTTAACAAGAACCCAGGATTGCGGCCGGCGCCAGACTGGACCTCCGCAATTGCCGGAACTGGACAGCGGCGGATTTTGCCCTCGGCCAAACGGTCCCTGACTATGTAAGGCTTCTTTGTCGTAGTTTGGTTAAGGTTTTGAATTTTTTTATGGGTAGTTAAACCCAGTGAGGAATGGAAACTTAATCGTTTTAATAGCGAGTAGCGAGGAATAGAAATTTAATCTTTTAAATATCATCTCAACCGTGAACTAGGCTTGGCCTGGAAGGCGACCCGTCAGAGTGCCAAAGAGTGTCCTTACGTGCATTGTCGCAAGGCTACATTTCGGTTTGATTGTTGACGGCAACGAACGTTGCCAGTTGCAAGTCGTGAATTTTAAGAATTCACGCGATTTTCGAGGTGGCAGAATCCTCTCTGAATTAGGGAATGCAAGGGCAAACTGAATTCTGTCCATGCTTGCTCATTCGATCGATTACATTGCCTTTGATTCCGAGAAGGGTTGTTCCAAACACGTTGGGAGTTTAAACGTTTAGACATTTCGGGGGCTTAAACTGTTTAAATAGAGCTCGGGGTTCCGTGCCTTAAAGCATTTTCAAACATTTAGGATTCGGCACGTGTAAGCATCTCGCCCCCTGTTAAACATTGGCAGTGTGATGAGTTTGATGAGTGCCCTCGAGCTTGAGCGTCAGGGGGTCTAGTTGACCAACGTCTGCACTGCTTGACACAGAAAGGCCTTCGCTGCATTTTCATCAGGGTCTACTTTGTTAGGAGACTTTAGGGCTTATAGGCTATGCTGAAAGTCATCAGGCGGTTTAAAACATTTAAACGGCTTAAACGTTCAAACCTTTTAGAGGGCCCTAGGGCCTAGGTTTTGGGGAGTGTATTCAGGCGGTTTGAACCGTTGAAACGTTTAAACCGTTCAAACGGCCTCAGGGCTTTGGTTCGGGGGAGAGAATTCAGGCGGTCTAAACGGTTTGCGTTTTGCACGTTTGCAGCATTCAAAGAGCCTTAGGGCTGTTGTAGGTTCTGGGCTGCGCTTTTTACTCTGTTTCACACCACGCTTAAACATCCCTAAACCCCAACCCCTAAACCCCTAAGACTCTTCTCAGATGCTCCATCCAGCCCCTGAGCCCTAAACCCGAAACATCCCTAAACATCCCTAAACCCCAAGCGGCCTCCCTGAAACCGCGGCTCAGATGCTCCAGAAGACCGTGAAGCTCGGCATGCGGGCCATGCCGGGGAAAGATGGCATCATCAAGTCCGAGGGCCTCGTCCCAGGCCTTTGGGTGCCAGGGGGGGGTGTGCCTCGATCAGACAGACACGTGGTTTAGGGGTGGGGGGGTTTAGGGTTTTAGGGTTTTAGTTTGGATTTTAGGATTTTAGGGTTTTAGGGTTTAGGGTTTGTTGTTTGAATCGGAAGTTGCACTGCTTCAATACCCACACAAGCTGTTGTGGCGTTGGGATACTTAGTTTAATTCTGAAGGCTGAAGAAGCTCGGCATCAATTTTGGTTTAGTTTGTTTTGTTTGCGGCCTCTGTTTGTTTGGTTTGACTTGGCAGTTATATTGGGCGGAACCAGCCGATGAGGCAAAACGACCTCAGGCCCCCGTACCTTGGATGGGTAGTGTACAAGTTGCTGCGCGATGATTACGCAAGCTGAACGACAGCAAGAAGATTTAGCTACCCTCGTCATTTGAGTTTCATTGATGTGACACGCTGTGGCAGACAGGTTTTACAACTACAAGAAGACATCTTGGTAGGCCAAACAAAGCCACTTGTAATATGTGGCTAAGGTCAAAGGTGTACGTCTGTTGATGATACAAATCCTGCATGACCCATAATAAGGAATATACCATAGTTCCCACATATTCCTTATTATGGGTAATGCAGGATTTATATCATCAACCTTTACACCCCTACAGTATCTTAGCTTTGATTGGCTGACGGCAGCAGGCGATGTGTCGCCCGAGCAGAGGACAAAGCTTTGCGAGCGCGACGCGCCTGCGGCCTCCACGGCAGGTCTGGAAGTGCAACTTGGCTTCTGGTTTGAGGCTTCGGGTTTAGGGTCTAGCTGCTTAGGGCTGAGGGAGTAGATATAGGAGCTGGGGTATTTTTGTCTTGATGGGTTTGAGGCTTGTCTTCCTTTGACAGACGGAGCTTTGTTCATTATCGTGGATATTCTTATACAGACAGAGATCTGTTCATTATCGTGGCAAGTTGACAGCGCATGTTCAGGGCTTATCACTTGTCCGCAGGACAGTGTCCTCAAGCACGGTTTTGCTCTCGAGCGTGTCGTGTTCTGGATCGTAGCAGCCCTCGTTGAAGCTTGTACGAGAATCTCTGCAATAGACCGGACACGACTGTGCTGCGGGGGCCTTCATAATTGCCTCTAGTATTCCTTAGGGCGGGCTCCTCATTATACTTATACTATAAAGGAGCCGAAAACCCTATTCTAATCATTAAGGACCCTCCAGTAGTGGCATCTGATGTCCCTCATCAGCCCTGGTGATTGTGCTCATACCCTATGCTTGTCTGACCTTCATCTACTTGGAGGTTCATGGGTAGTTAAAAGTAGGGTTATAAGTAGGGGAGCTATAATTATAGCCCATATGTTAGGGGACAAATAACCCCACTTATAACTGACCATGAAACTCCAAGTAAGCTGTTTTTGCACCTACGCGGGAATCCCTGAAAGGTCGGTGGGCATGGGCTAAATTGGGATCCCTTTTGGGGTCCTTCTCATAAGGATGCAGACCCGAATTTAGAGAACTACCCAAGAACAGTTTCGGTCGGCAGGGTGCAGTGGATGGTGGAGCTGATGAAGAAGGAAGGGAAATGGGATGCCAAAAAAGCGTGAGTTGGCTCGACTTAATGTAGGAGTCTGAGGAATTAGATGGCCAATAGTTGATTGACATACTTTCGTCAGGTTCCCGAACAGTTTATGAATCTTAGACTCCCCGAAAACCGAGTCGAATTCTTCAGGCTTGTATTTTAAATGAATTGAGCCAAACCCACCTCCTTTTTAAATGGAGGGCCGGAGCCTTTTTATGCTCCTCTGTTCAGTTCCATGGGGCTTCGGCAGCCTTTGCTTGGTGGCACCGGGTCCTCTGCGAAGAGTGGTGATGGACCAGTAGCCGCCAAAACTGCCAAACGGCTCTCATAGTGTAAGATATTCAGTTTTGTTCTGCTAAAAAGCAGTTGCTTACAGCTGTACAGGTCTATCAAGGCACTGCATCGGGTAGCCGAGAAGTCAACAACATTCCAATTCCAGGAATCCTAAACCCCAAAACCCTAAACCCGAGAAGCCATAAACTCTACACACCAAAGCCTTACCCCGAAACGCCCTAGATCCAAAGCCGCAGACCCTAAATCCAAGAAGCCTTAAACCCTAAACTCCCAGGGTCCCAGACCCTAAACCCCAAAAGCCTTAAGCCCTAAACCCCAAAAGCACTTAAAAAAAAAAAAGCAAAAGCCTTAAGCCCTAAACCCCAACATGTGCTTACAACGGGGTTTATATAGGGTGGTTCTACTCGGGTGCGTTTCTCTTCATTTCAGCAGAAGCCTACTGCTTAGGGTTTTCTTGAAGGGCGCATGGCACGCCCTTCCTCCATGACTTGAGGTCGGCATACTTGGTATTATTCATTCGTATTGGGGTTTAGAGTTTAGGGTTCATTCATTCGCATTGGGGTTTGGGGTCTAGTGAGAAGGTTTGTGGCAGAAGCTCTAGCTATCTTCTGCTTGGGCGGCCGTTTCGGCTGCTCGTCAGAGCATCCATCCCCCCCCGTCCCTGTGCGACCGTACCTTGCTTTGCCAGCTCCTGGGCTGTAACGAAGGGCACCTGTCAATTGAATAGGAGGGACCCTTAATGGGAACCCCTAATTACCCTATAATGGGCTATGTAATGGGTATATAATAGCTAAGTTAAGGATATATACCAAGGGGTCCTTATTAAGGGTCTCCCCTTTTACGCTTGGAACCTGCTCAAGAAGTTCGAAAGGGTTTAGTGTTTAGGGGGGTGTTTCGAAGGGTTTTAGGGCTCAAGGCGGCCCCGGAAATCAAGAATTGGGGTTTAGAGATGGTATGCCTCCATTGGTTCAAAGTTGAAGTTGAGGGTTAAATCTATATATCTGTATATATATATATACACATATATATATATATACACGTATCTATATATATATATATATATATATATATATATATGGCTGGGCATTCAGAATGCCCCACACAATTACTAGATCGGAACTTTTGGAGCAAGCCCTGCAGAACCCTTCATACCCCCTCTACCTAAATTCGGGAGGGACCATAAGCTGATGCCCAAACCCACGCGCCTTTACCCCCAAGCCCCAAACAGATACGTAGTAAAAGGTCTATGGGCTCAGGGTGTAGGGTTGACGCCCCAAATCCCGAAAGGGCTGAACTTCAAGTGGAACCCGTAAACCCTAAACCGTAAAGCTTGAAACCCAGAAAGGAGTGCCATAGGCCCTACTTGGAGGATCGGGGACTTAGCAACCAGGGTTGTAATTAAGGTAACTGGACTTATAATTACTTATCACCCCAATTAGGGTACTTATAACTTATAACCTAACTTACTAAGTCCCCTGATCCTCCAAGTAGGTGCCCAGCCCTTGAAGCTCACAGCGCCCAGCCTTCTGGAATGATCCGAAGGGAGCGCAAGATCCTCAAGACCCTACTTGGAGGATCAGGTGACTTAGTAAGTTAGGTTATAGGTACCTGAATTGGGGTTATAAGTAGTTATACGTATAGTTACCTTAATTGTAACCCTAGTTACTAAGTCCCATGATCCTTCAAGTATGTAACCTCACGAAGATCCTGAAGTCTCCGAATCCCAAACTCAAGAAGAGCCCGTCACTTTTCCAAAACCCCTAAGCTCAAGAAGATCCTGCAAAGCCCCAAAGAAAGTTAGATCTTATCGTCCCACCCCAGCCCGAAAGAAAACTTATCAACCCTGAAAAGGTGATAAAGCCCTAAACCCTAGACCCCAAACTTTGAACCTTAAACCCGACTCTAAACTCCAAAACCGCTTAAACCCCGAAGCCCCAAACCTCGAAGTCCGAAACCCTAAACCCTTAAACTCTAAACCCCTAAGAAGTAGACCCTAAACCCGAAACAACCCTAAACCCTGAACCCTAAACCCCTAAGAAGTAGACCCTAAACCCGACATTTTCGTAGAGGCTTTGCCAACAATGGGCAACTGCCAGGCAACTGAGGCCTTGGCTGAGCTGGATTTCGGGGCTTCTGGGGTTTAGGGTTTGGGGTTTAGGGGTCTAGGGTTTAGGATTTGGGTTTTTAGCTGTTTAGGATGTCGGGTTTAGGATTTAGGGGTTTAGGTGTTTAGGATTTAGGGTTTAGGATTTAGGGGTTTAGGTGTTTAGGGTTTAGGGTTTAGGCTGACGTAGGCTTTAGAAGCGGCTTATGCAGGGCTTAATTGCAGTTTACAGAGGTTTATGAAGGGTTTAGGGGGGGTTTCAAGTGTAGGAAAGCGTCTCAGGCTTTTAAGGTGTTTAAGACTTCAGAGTAGGGTTTTGGGGTTTAGGGGTGTAGTGTTTCAGACAGAGTCGGGTTCAAGGTTTAAATTTGGGGTTTAGGGTTTAAGGTGTTTAAGACTTTGGAGTTGGGTTTATAGGGTTTACAGTTTGGGGCTTTGGGTTTAGGGTCTTAGGGTGAGTCGGGTTTAGGGTTTAGCAGTCAAAGTTTGGGGCTTTGGGCAAACGGTCTTAGGTTTTGAGGGGCTTTAGAGGTTCGAGTCGAATTTGGGGTTTAAAATTTGGGGCTTTGGGTAGGGTCTTAGGGTATAAGTGGTTTCAGGGTTCAGAATCGGCTTTGGGGCTTAGGACCCTGGCTCTCTGGGTTGAGGGTCTTAGAATTCAGAGTTTGCGGCTTGCGGCTTTGGGTCCGAGGGCTTTGGGGTTTGGTGTTAGGAGGCTGGAACAATCTTGGTGTATAAAGTCTCAGCCCTAAACCCTAAGCCTTCAATTTCAAGCCCTATAACAAAGCCTGGTTCCTAACCCTTAACCCTAAACCCTAAGGCCTAAGGCGTTCAAAACAAAATACACCTAAACCCTAAACCCTGAACCTCAACCTAAACCCCCAGCCACATAGGATGCATCTTGGCTCTATGGGACAGGCAATCGCAAAACGGGACATCGGGCGAGCCCAGGCCTGAACCTTACCTTGAGCCCTGGACCCTAAACCTCAAACCCTAGACTTAAGACTCTGAGCCCGAAGTAAGAATCTTAGGTTTAGAGGGTTTAGGGTTTAGGGTTTAGGGTTTAGGGTTTAGGGTTTAGGGTTCCAGGGGTCTGAGGTTTCAGGGTCTAGAGTCTGGGGCTTGGTGGTTGGACCCAAGATCTAAACTTCCAACCGCCTAAGTACTAGACATTCTTATCGAAACCCGAAATCCTGGACCTCCTGCCAAACCAGAAACCCCAAACCCCAAGCCCTCAACCCTAAACCTAAACCCTAAACCAGAAACAGTTTCAATCAAGGTCCCAGGTCGGCGAACTGATCCATCCGGAAAGGCTTGCGCTTCAGCTCAGAAGAGCAATGGATCTTTGAACAACAAACATATCCTACGCCCCAAGTCCTAAATCCTACACCTTAGTCCCCAAATCCGAAACCCCGCAAAACCCTACGCCCAGAGAAGTTGTGCAGGTGCCCTCCGCAGAGGAGGTCGTCGTCACCACTCCTCCCAAAAGCAAGGACGACCAAGAGGAGACCTCCACCCGGTCCCCAGCCCCGTCCATGGAAGTGGACTCCACGCCACCCCCTGCGCCGGAAGTCGTTGCGGCTGTGCCGGAAGCTCGGACCGCAGTGGTGCCCTGCACTAGGGTTGGGGGGAGAGAACCCCAAGCCCTTCGCCTAAACTCTAAGCCCAAACCTCGCTATCTGCAACCGAGGAAGTCGACGCCGCTGCAGGGGACGCCACAGCTTCGGCCCCGGCGGAAGCGGATGCCCCGGCTGAGCCGGCGGCAGAAGCCGAGGTGAAGCCCGTGGTACATGAGACCAGGCCTGTCGTCATAAAGCTTTCGAGAGGCAAAAATCCGGGTGCATATTTTGGCTTCCGAAAATAAGATGCCAGCACGGGGTTTATTCGGAGACCATTATAAGCCATACAGCCTCAAGCCCCGAACCGTGTGATGCACTCCGGGTGAGAGTGCTGCATGTTTCGCAGGTTCGGGGTCTTGCTGGAGAGCCTTTTGGCTGCAAGCAGGATCTTGTTCCCAGCACCACCCCAGGACTCCGATCTTAGTTTAAGCTCTGTTTATCAGTCAAGAATATTCGTTGAATTGCAGGAAGGGTCCTTCAAGGAAGGACCCTGAATGAGAATGGATGTTCGAGTCTGTGGGGACCGCTGTTCTAATTTCCGAGCATTTGGAAGAAGCTGCGATCCACGCCCGAACTCAGAATTCAACGCCTGCAAAATTCGGGACGCTTCCGGCACTATTACCGACATCGACATGGCCAAGTTTTTCGAGGCTTGTGGTGGCGTGATAGGGTTCAGGGTTTAGGGTTCTTTCGCAACATGCAGAGGCTGCAAAGCCCTCGAGCGCCTCGCGAGTTCAATTCAGCGGCCTCACAAAACGAATCCATGATGAGCCTGGAGCCTGCACACATCACCTTGAGCCGTTGAAACTATTTGAAGCATTTTTGTTATTGCTAGTGTTATCATGAGTAGTTCTGATTATGATGATGGTGATGAAGATTAGTCAGGATTACTGAAGTTTTCATCTCAGCTGCCCATTCTATGTCCCCCAAACGAAGGCTCTTCTCCTCACGCCTAGGCCCAAATCCGCAGGCCGTCAATCTTAATAGATCCTAAAACCGAAAGCCTACGATTTCCACGCCTTGAGCCCGAAACCTTAAAGCCTAAGGCCTCAAAAACCCTAAGCCGTAAGCACTTAAACACTGAAACAAAATCTTGGTCCCGACGGCAAAACGACACTCTTACTTGTGAGCTTCAATCAAGGCTCCTGACTTTAAGGGCCCGTTTAACAAGACGGCCGCAAATTATCCAGGACCCTATATCCAGGACCTATATCCAGGACCCTATACATTAATGTGACTAATGTGCTTTTGTCTATGTGTGTACATATATATATATATATATATGCAGATAGTAGGATGATTCCCGAAAGGATTCTGTCGAAAAATCTGACCGTCAACTTCCTGACCTACCCGCCCTGCCCTGCCAGGCCTGCGATCTATACCGATCCTCGGCGCGCTTGAAGGTTTCTATGGTTCAGGGTTAGGGTTTGGGGTTTGGGGGTTTACGGCTTAGGGTTCCTTATTGTAATTGTCCAGCTATCTCAAAAAGCTATGCCATGAATCTTCAACCTCATGAATCATGACTATCGGGGCCTGAGCTTCGAGAATAGTGTTGCTCTAAGGCCTGCAAGGGGTTTCTCTAAGGGATTTAGGGTTACGTGTTCAATATCGGGGCCTCAGTTCTCAATAGAAGGAAGTGTGGTATATTCAGGTGCAAGGATGTCTACAGGCGGATATTCTTGCTACTTTTTCGACCTCGATAGTATGCCCCGGGTATAAAGCCTGAAGCCCTCCTAAGCTCCACTCCCAAGCCACCCCAGACCCAACACACTAAACAGTAAAGCTTTGACTAAGGCCCTAAACCCTAGAGCACTAAACATATTGGGGAAAAATATTTTTCCCCAATATGTTTAGTGCTTACATAGACGATTGTGGAGTTCTCAAGCGTGAGAAAAAATCAGAAGTTAAAGCTTAGGCCAGGAGAACCCCTGCGAAACCTCCGTAAGGCTCCACAGGACAAGCCGCCACCCGAAACCCTGAGCTGGAAACCCTAAACCTACAACCCTAGACCCTAAATCCTGGACCCTAAACCTAGACCCTATAAACCCTACACCTGAGACCCTAGACCTTGAACCCTAGACCCTGAAGCCCTTAAAGCCCAGACCCTGAACCCTAAGCCCTACACCCCTAAATCCTGGACCCTAAACCCTTAACCCTAAACCCGAAGACACCGCCGAGGTGACATGCTCTCCAAGCTTGGATCCGCCGCCGGCATGGTCTTGAACGACATCACCAGCAACCTGAAGAAGGCCCAGGTGGCCCGGACGCATCGATTTCGGTGGTCGCGGCGGGCTCCAGAGTCTAAAGGCTCTGAGTCTGTTGGGGGAGCCGCGGATTTGGGGTTCCAGGGCTTGGGGTCGAAGGCTCCTCCGAGGCATCTTCCGGACTTTTTCCTTTAAGGGTTTAGGGTTTAGGGCTCCCCAAGGGCACTTCTCAGGTATTTTTTTGAGGGTTCATGTTTGTGTTAAGGGTTTAGAGTTCAGTTGTTTTTTTGTTTTGTTTGATAGGGTTTAGGGTTCCGTTTTTTAGTTGTGTTTCTTTTTTCGGGGTTTCCTCAAGCAGGCCCAGAGGTTCCTCAGAGGCCTCTTTCGATTTCTTTTCTTCAAGGGGTTTGGGGTGCCAGGATGACTCGGAAGGCTGCATAGTAAGATTTTGCTTTTAAAGAGTTTATGGAGTCGGATTCTCAGTTTTTGGTTTAGGTTTAGGAGTTTGAGGTTCCATGCAACCAGGGTTGAATTTCCGAGGTGGTTTCTATCGGTTTCTTTTCTTGTTGCACCCTTTTTTTAGTTGGGAGCTTAGTTTTATCCGAATTTGTAGGTGCTTTGGACCAATTGAAACAAATCTGAATGAACATATACCAATGCAAATGAATACAAATGAAAGTACTGGTTTCCGATGGGTTTCGTTTTCTTCGTGTGTTGGGCCTTCAGGAGTTTCACGGATCTTCCGGGTGTCGGCCACAGTGATGACATCGAGTCCTGGGTGCTCGGAGGTTGTGGGTTTGGGGTTCGGGTATTGGTTTAGGGTTTAGTTTAGGGTTTAGGGTTTGGGGTTTAGGGGTTTGGGGTTTAGGGGTTTGGGGTTTTGGTGTTGGGTTTCAGGATTTCAGCAAATGGCTTAGACCTGCCACGACTCCTCCCAGTGCGACGGTGGGGGCAGCGGTTATCACGAGCCTGACATTTTTTTTAGAAGGCTGGGCGCGACTGGCAGTGCTATTTTTAAACCAGTCATGGCTATGCTGTGCTGATGATGGTGATGGTGATGATGAGGTTGGTGGCCATGGTGGTGATGATGATGATGACGAGGTTGCATCATGATTGCTATCACCATTGTGAATGATGTTTACTACACCTCCCGCCTTGATCCGCCTCCACCTCAAACCTGAAAGCTCAAGCTTCTGAGGCCTGAATTCCCAAACTACGAAGCCGTTGGCTCTCAATGCCCTAGCCTTCATATCTTTCATTGCTATGATTAAGTATCAGTATTCTTGCAAGAACTATTAGTGCTCTTATTCTTATCGCTAACACTGTGTCTGTCTTTTTTTAAAGCCTTCCCTGCACCGTGCACGCTGGATCCCGAAACATTGAGGTTGTCTACGAAGAGGCCCCAGCCGATCGGGCTACCTTCTCGGGCTATTTGCCCGGCCCTCAAGGGGTTTTGGGTTTTAGGATTCGATCTGAGGTTTAGGGAAGGGTTTAGGACCTAGGTCCGCTACGTACCCCCCCAAAAAAACCCACAACTCTGATTCTTAAAGGCCGCCTGTGTTGGGCTCTGGATTTTTGAGGGTTGAGGTCTTCAATTCGAGTCCTTCGGGTCCTTTCCGTCGGATTACGTGTGTAAGGTGTACCCCAGTCTCTCCCGTGGCACGGATGATTGGTTTGAGGGTTTCAGGATTCCAAAGTCTCAAAGGCTATGCGATTCATTAAGGCCACGACATCAATCCTTGAACCAACTGCCGCCGATGCTCCGAGGAAGGGGGGATCAGTCGTTGGTTGCACCTGGCTCTTGAGGTGGCGACGGGAGGGACATTTTTCCACCTCTCCTGTGTATTAATGTTCTTAGAAGTGTTTCTTGTTGTAACCATCCTCCAGCAGATTCTGAAAACAAATATTTGTTTTGTGGTTCTACGCGCGGGCGATTCAGCGTCGCCTTGACAGACCCAGGTTATTGTGTGGCGTATTTAGTACGGAGGTGGTTTTGCCCGGAGGTGGTTTTGCCACCAGTGCTGTTGGGTTTTGTTGATATATTGTGTTAAGAAGCTGAGCCTTAAACCCCAAATACAAAGCTAAATCCTAAAGTTTCTAAACCCTAAACCCTAAACCCTAAAGCCTAAACCCTAAAGAGTACATCCTAAACCCCCAAACGCTCCACCCTGGACCCTAAAAAGTCCTCCTCCAGTTGGTAAGTCCACGGGCCGGATCTGGTTGGGCGCGCGGTTTAGCAGATACATTAGAAGCTGCCCCCACCCTGTGATAGTGGCTATAAGGATTATATTAGGGCCCTATTATATTCCTATTATACCACTATGAGAGGGTGGGGGGCCCTTCTAACAGATACGTAACATAGAACGAAGTACTCCAATCAGAAGAAGTGTTGTTTCATCCAGTGGCACTGCAAAAAGGAACACAAAGGACAACACCAAGAGCAGGAGCAGCTCGAAAAAGGGCTGTGCGTCTTTAACTAGCCTACAGCCAAGTTCCTGTGCTGAAGCCTGTGTCCAGCATCCGAAAGCCTTGCCTCAACCCCGAAGCCAAAATAGCCCCGAATCTAAACCCGGGTTTAGGGTTTAGGGACCCTCAACCCTGTACCCTCCAAAACCCTGAACCCCCGGCAGGGGTGTGGACTTCTTCCTGACGATGGTCTATCTCATGTTCACTTCAAACACTGGCAGCCCGGGGGTTGAGGCCTTCGGTGCAGTGGGTTGACACTGCTAGAGTTACTAGGGTTTAGGGGTTTTAGGGTTTAGGATGGTTTAGGGTTTAGGGTCTGTTGCTTGCTTTGTTTAGGCGTTGCTGTTGTTGGTTCTAGCTACATGGCTATTAATGACAGTGGTGTTCATTGCTGCCGAGAGTGCAGTTATGTTGTCGCTCGAAACATCGCCATTCCTCTCTGTAGGTTCAGACCGCAGCCCTACGCCCACAACCGAAAAACGCCATGCACCCTGTATGCGTTTGTGGAGCCCTTACGAGAAAAGCGCTGCCGAATCCTCATAGAGTCCTTTGCAAAAACCTCTACAAACTTCAAAGCACTCGAAATCGCAAGCCCCAGACCTCGAAGAAACGCTGCAAACCCTGAACCAACAGAAACCCTGAACCCGAAACCCTACGCCTCAAGGAAGCCCTGCAAACCCTAAAGCTCTCGAACCCGCAAACCCTAAAACCTCAAAGAAAGCCAAAACACCCTGAAGCACCTGAAACCCGAAACTCGAAACCCAAAGCCTCATAGAAAAAAGCATCCAACCCTCAAAGGAAGCCTTATTATATCGTAACTCTTGCAGGAACTATAGTAGCCCTTACATCATAAGGACCCTTATGGAGGTAACCCGAAAGGTCACAAGAAATCCTGCGAAACCTGAAGCCGTAGATGCGATAGATGCTTTTTAGCAGGCGTACAAGCAGACTCTGATGCAGTACCACGGTTGGGCGGGGGCCCCGGAGACAAGCCCAAACTGGTTTGGTGCGCGTAAGGTACACAGACTGTTTATCTTTGGTTTATCTAGGGTCTTTAAGACTGTATCTAGTCTTTTTGGGGATTTAGCAGCTGGGTGCAGGAAGCAGAAATCTCAGTTGCGGAGTTTCGGAGTTTTCATCGCATTGGGGAAACGGGCACGAATTTCTGGGACCTCATGTTTCTAGAAGGCAGGAGGAAGGAAGAACTCTGCATCAAAGCCTCGCAGACAAGGGTGCCACGTTGGGTCAAGCATTGCGTCTCCCTTGAGCTTCCCTGCTTTGCTGCGTGGGAGAATGCTCCACCACCTTATGCTGGCGGGTAAGTTCCTGTACTATCCTACACAAACACAGACCGTCAGCCCCAAATCCTCAGCCCTCTACAACCGATCCTTAAAAGCAGGCATGCAAGGGCCCGGTTAAACCCTAAAGCCAAACCCTAAAACCCTAGACACCATAGCCAAAACGAGCCCTGGAAACCCTTTAAGCTTTGACAGCCCTAAACTAAGCCAAGAAGCCCAATGGCACAGACTTGTTCGGTATCTCCGAACCCCCAACCCTAAACCTCAGACCCCAAACCCGCAACCCTCAACTCAATGCTGCGTTCATCCAGCGGTGAGTCTTTGACAGTGCAGGCATTAAAAGTAACATCAGGGCCGTGCGACACGCAGAGTTTCATCAATGTTGCCAGTCAGGAGACTACGTCTCCACTCAGCCCATGGAAATGTTGATGAAGACAGCAAAGTTGAAAGCATTCTCTTGCGCTGGACAGGACTCCGGGAATGCAACTAGTGAGCAGGGCTGCGCTCTTGTCAGCGGAACTGGAAAATCCACATGAGTTTGCTCTCCCAGGCTCGAGATGCAGCGTCACATGTTGGGTTTTAGACTTTAGTCAGTTGCTTTTGCATAAAGTGCCATGATGCTCATGCATCTGTTCCTTCGGGCACATGCCGTCAGATCTGGGCCGGACGTTGGACAGGCTTTGACTCGGAGCGCCGATCTTGGTCTTCCGAGTGAGTTCATTCCCGGCAACGAACAACGCGAAAAAAGTTCAAGAAACTGCTGTGCACATCCGCCGAGGTTCACTGATCCGCAGTTCGGCCAGGATAAGTTGCATGGTCACAGAAAAAGTCCGCGACGCCTCAGCGCAATCCTCCTTAGAGGGCTCTCCATGGAAATATCCGACTTGGCGCATGAACGCGCATGGCGGCGATTGGTTACATAGGCGAACATTGGACCGGTATCTCTTTCACATCCTTTATGAACTCCTTTCCGCTGCCTGACATCCGGGTGGAGCCTCAACATCCTCCTGTCCTGCTGAATTTCTTCGGCCGTGGCAACGGCCGCAGCACAAAATCTCCCAAATGGAGTCCATGGCAGAGAGCGGGGCACGGCTGCTCCAATGCAGCCATGCCAAGAGATGTTAGCGGGAACTCAGACGCAGGCCTGTGTGCTTGCTTGGAAATGCGGTGCCCGAGAGCGCAGCCGTGCTTGCAGGATGTGTCGCAGGTCAGATCGTTTCTGATCAGATATTGTAATTCAGGCCCGGAAACCGATCACCTTGAACCCTCACAAAGTCTTTCGTTGCCTCTCCTACATGTGGCCTGGGTGTGTGCATGCGGTGTGCTGATGCGCAAAAAGTTTTGCGTGCGATGGAGCCTGCGTCCTTTATTGTTCCTGCTTGTGCAGCTTCAAGATTCAAGTTGCACGACAATCTAAAGTTGATGACACGCCATGGACCTGTTGGGGACCCACGGCTGATGTCAGCGGCTTGGGTAACTGGTAAAAAATCTGCCCCCTGTAGTTTCTACATAGTTGCATGCCGTTCTAAACCACCGCCTCTTGTAGCAAGAGTAGGGCCGGCATTAGGGTTTAACGGCAAACACAGCGAAATACAAATGGAGCTAGCGACTGGCACTGGGGCAATCCTCACCCGACGCGTGCGGAGATCCCCACTCTCCATCGAAATCACAACTCTAGACACGAGAATACGTGAGTGCCGAGCCCTGCTTGCGTCCGACAAAACCAAAGGCTTCAAGGTTCCTGGTGCCCCATGCAAACAAAGGGTGCAGGAAGCTTCCTCTTTTTCCGTGCGTGGCAACCAGTGTTCGGATGTTCCACGCGGCTGGAAGCAGGCTCAGTTTTCCTGACGCATTGTTTCGAGCGTGCGCTTGGTGATGACGCTTGCGCGTCGACTTTATTGTGTGAGCCTAGGAGGCTCATGTACTGCAAAGGTTCTTCAGTGAGACGAGGACATTCACCGGCATGCTTGGTTGCGTGCAACGCTCGGGTTTGTGCAAATGGCTACGTGACAGTTTGATCGCGCGCCAGGCGATCACGGTTGCAACTTCGGTAGGTAGAGCAGCTATCATCTGAAAGAGTGCAGCGTGTGCTAATGTCGGATTTGTGAGAGCGGTTGCAGCTATGTGACAGTCTGACCGTGTGCAAGGTAATCACGGTTGCGAATTCAGTAAAGCAGCTTTCGTCTTGGCTGGCGTGAGACAGAGAATTCAGCTTGACATGCTGGAGAGACATTCTGCTTGCTGGCGTTCCTTGCGAACAAGTGCGCAAATCATCGTGGCGACAAGAAAACTTGTCGAGCGCCCAAGATATGCAGTCGATTGAAGCCCAGTGCATCGTCGACGATCTGCAGGCAGGATTTGCTTTTGAGATTAACGCATTCGCAAAAAAGAAAAAGTTCTTAGCTTTCGTGACTCATGATGCTCCTGCTTTCGCAAAGGTTTTCCTTCGTTGGTGTGATGGGTCGCAGCAGAAGGTTGTGTTGGCTCGTATAGATGTCGACATGCTTGAGTCGGACGTGATTTGGTTCTTGGCTTTGGTGTCAGGAAGCTTTGTTGAAGATAATTCATCAACAAAGCCGTGCAATTCAAAAGCGGCTGGGCGAGCCTGTATGAAGAGATTGAACCGCTTGCTTTGTACAGCAGGGACCGTTCATGTGGGTTCCGTCACGTGGGAACTTTGCGCTCTACAAAAAAACATGCTGAACCCACCCCAAAAAGTCCTGTATCGCGTCGCCGGGTCCCGTTTCGGTTCCGGACCCTAAGCCCTAAACCTTAAACTAGGTATCGATTTGGGATAATCATTACTCCTTTATTGTTGAATGTGGAGTCCTAATTACAAACAGTTTTGAGGACTGTTGACATTGGCACCTAGGCAACCCTTTAGTTTGGTTGGAGGGCCAAGCGTGGGGATGCTTAGGATCAAGATTGAGGCCTTGCATGGAGGCGCATTTTCAAGATCCGAAGCCGGTGACCTTTGTTAACTGTGATGTTTAGGGTGTAGGGGGTTTTATGTCTGCAGATTCCCCTGAGCCTCGAGAGCTTGCACAAGACACCTGCCCAAGGCACGACAAACCCGATTGTGCAAGCCAGAGCGTTTGAGGGCTGCACCCCTGGATGCGCAAACTCACGAATCTTTTTCCTCATCGTTCTGGTGATGCCCTCTCCCGTCCAAAAGCTGTCAAAGCCCTGCCAAAAGTTTTTGTAAGCCCTCTGAGATCCCGCCGATGAAGCCCTAAAGGCCCTAAACCCAAAACCTTTCCCAGATGCTCCAGAAGACCGTGAAGCTCGGGATGAGGGCCATGCCCGGGAAGGACAAGATCGTCCAGTCCGAGGGCATGATCCTAGGCTGGGCCATTTACAGGCGTAGAGGGTTTAGGGGGTCACGAGTTTAAGGTTTAGGGTCGCGGGCCTAGGGTTTCATTTAATTAGGACCCCCTTCGCCCCTTTTGGGTAATAATGCCACCGCTAACCCATTAGATGATTATTCCTATACTCCCCCCTACATTTCACCGATAAATCACTACTACTTCCCCCATTAGATGATCATTCCTAGGATCCCCCCTACACTTCACCGATATATCACTATTACTTCTCCATTATCAACACAATTCTAGGAATAACCATAACCCCATCTATTATCTCTAAGGTGGCATTATTGCTCAAAAGGGGCAAGGGGGTTCTCGTAGAATTTGGTTCAGGGTTTAGGGTTAAGGGTTGTAACAACACTGTAATTATAATATATAACTGCTTATGTATTATAATTACATTATAACTATGCTGGTTAGGTTGTTTAATCCACTAAGACAAACTCAGGTTTATTCATAAGAGTTCCAACAATTGTATTAAAGTCCCTAATGAATACATCTGGATTAAAACCAAAATCGTTTATCTTACTACGAATATTAGTATTTTTAATATCCATCCAATCCTCATATATCCATTTGAACACTGTATATCTTCTTTTTGACAATTTCTTGAACAGATCATTTTTAACCCTGTCATAAATGGGAAAGTCATGTTTAATTGAGAAAATAAGTCTATCTACATCATACTCATGTAGTATATTACGTCTGATAATTCCCTCTATCCTCTCCTTCTTGAACTGGCGTTTTTGACAACTACGGCAAAAATAAGCAAAGCCGTAAATATTGTTAATAACATTTTCTGGTAGTGACAATTCATACAGAGTGGAATAACGTTCGTGCTTCTTACAATCTTTACATTTACAATTCCGTCGCTCTTCCTTGAGTTCCCTGAAGTAATCGTGAACCTTGACAACATCCAAGAAAATATTTGTTATTTCATCCTGTTCTGTTTGATTGAACATTTCCCTGTTAATATATATAGGCGTTATTTCTTTAAGTCATTTTCCTCAGAAATATTATTTTCTTAAGCTTTACTGGATCGCGGTATATTTGACAGATTTATCCAAGCATTCAGAACAAGTCGCAATGTATTTAACATAACAATAAAAATGCTTACCAACACAATAGCAACGCTTGAAATAATCAATGGATTTGACTTGCTTACAACGATAACACATCCTAGTATTAATATTATTTGTTTCAGTATATGGTTCAAAATCAACTAATATCTTTTCTACTCTTACTGGCATTATTATTAATATATACACTTTTTCATAATGCGATATTATGAAAATTTGCAGTGGTTCCTTAAGATTTAACGAAACTAATTACGAATTAATGTCATTACCAAACTCTTATGGTTTGCATATGAACCTGTAGAACTTGCTAGGCGCACGGGGGGCATTGGCTCACTTCCTTCTTCTGTTTTGATTGGGGGATTTTTATGCCAAGATGGCCTGTCAATATACACGAGATTTTAATCCATAATATTTAAATTATTCTTCAAAATATTTACATCTTTGTCTATCCTTTCAACATCCTCCTCCACTTTTTCTAATCTCTCTGCTGGCGTGGGCTTTCGTGATCCCCATCCGGTGGTCGCAGTATCAACACCTTCATTATCTTGTGAGCTAGTCTTAAAGATGTCGTTTTCATCGG